GTCCTGAGCGCACGAATCTTTCTACACGCGTGACGCGTCTTCTTCTTCTTCTTGCTTTATGGCGGATCGCAGACTTATAAGTGCATTACCGCCACCTATCTGTCAAATGGACCTCTATCTACAATCTCAATTAGGATTGTCAATGGTCCATTTGAGAGATACTGTCTCTCACTTCTTTAAACCAGGGTTTATGCATTAGTGCATTACTGCTGAAAGTGCTGTAGATGTAGAAACTTCCTCATTTTCTTTACATTTCTGTCTTTTTGTCTCTGCAGTACAAACAAGTGGAGCAGTACATGTCCTTCCACAAACTTCCAGCAGATTTCCGACAGAAAATCCACGATTACTATGAGCACCGTTACCAGGGTAAGATGTTTGATGAAGAAAGCATCCTAGAGGAGCTGAACGAGCCGCTCAGAGAGGTGAGTGTGTGTGTGTGTGTGTGTGTGTTTGGTTATCTGTGTGTTTGCAAAGGTCTGTCTATGTCTGTAAACATCTGTGGAAAAAATCTCCCAGAAGGCCCTGCAGTTTTCGCAGAGCTTTCCAAAACAATGAAACCACGCTGAAGCGGGAACGGCTTCCAAACTCATTTGTGTCACAGTAAACAGATAAGTCCCTTCTGAGAATGGCTTCCAGCTTTCACTGCATTTAATGCTGTTTTAAGAGAATATAAAGCTCCTAACAAACATTCAGCTACTTGAGTATAGATGTTTATGCTTTAATATGATTCATTATGGCTGAATTGCACCAAGAAATTTCCGGGTCAAATTTAACCTCATAATCAAATTATATATTACATTACAACAATTATATTCATTACAACAAATATTAGGCTGTAATATACCATAATAACAAGTTTTATTTTTTCCACGCAAATTGATGATGATGAGGATTATTATTATTATTATTACATCTTCAGATAAATGGTATTTTTTATATTAACATAAATTAATTTCCATACCAAAATGACTAGACTATACAATAATAATGTTCAATTTTTTTCATGCAAATTATTATTATTATCATTAAAATATTTATTATTATTATTAAAATTTCTGGTAAATTAATTTTTTTTCTTTTATAAGTATAATAACTCTGCTTATGTTTTGCTGTTTCATAGCATTTTATGATTCCTAAATAAATGCAATTAAAGAATATTTTCAGACTTTTGGCATAATTTGACACAATTACAGCTTGATCAAATGATATTTACCTATTTTATCTCTCATATTTTATCTCAAGCTCTATTTCTTAAATATGTCTTACTTGTATTTTTATTTAAGTTTAAAATTAAATTAAAGAAGTGTTATTTTACTGTTATTTATATACTATTACCATTTTTATTAATATTTAGAATTTTCTTTTATTTTTAATAGTTTCAGTTTTAATTTAATTTATTTTTATTTTTAAATTATTATTTCTAACAATTAAAATAATTATATTAATAATAATTAAATAATTAAATTAAATTTAAAAAAAGATTAAAAAATATTAGGCTATAACACTATAAAAGGTACTTTAATTCTCTGTTTGCAAATTATTATTATTATTATTATTATTATTATTAAATCATTACAACAAATATTAGGCTGTAATATTTATTCATGTATTATTATTATTATTATTATTGCATTTTCAGGTAAATTTATTTTTATTTTCAAATTACCATTATTATTATTATTATTATTATTATTATTATTATTATTATTAACATATTTTAAAATAACATTAAGTATTATTTTAGTAATTATATTAATATTATTTAAAATATGTAATGTTATTTAAAAATATCATTTATCCATCCATCAACTTTTCTTGACAGTTTTCATGTGATTCACCCTTATGTTTATGTAAATGCTGTGTATGTGAAATATGTGTTTATGCATTTCTCTCACCCTCTGGACTTCTTTCCATCTGCTTCAGGAAATTGTGAACTTCAACTGCCGTAAGCTGGTGGCCTCCATGCCCCTGTTCGCCAACGCCGAACCCAACTTTGTGACAGCCATGCTGACGAAGCTCCGTTTCGAGGTCTTCCAACCAGGCGATTACATCGTCCGTGAGGGAACCATCGGCAAGAAGATGTACTTCATCCAACACGGCGTGGTGAACGTGATTACCAAAGGAACGGTTGGCATGAAACTTTCCGACGGCTCCTACTTCGGAGGTACGATGCCACTCAAATTAACCTCATAAATAAGATGGGAATTAAACCATCACTTTACTTAATTAAACTGCTCAAATCCTTATTGAACCCCATAACATTTAAGCCAAATATGGTGTGACCCCTTCTATGTTAGTCCTTTTTACGTATTGTGATTATTTCGAAGGTAAATGAATTGAACTTTAAAGGCACATTCGTGTTCGCAATCAACATTTTTTGCTTTTACTTCATGCATCTCATCCAGCCTGAACTTGATCTAATTATTTAGATCTCATTGTGATTTAAAAATCTAAATTTAAGCACTCATTATTCTCTAGCCAGTGTTTCTGACATCATTTAATGGACCATTTGTATTTTCCAAACGTTTAAAGGTGAAGTGCATAATTTCTGCTGCATCAAACTGAATATAATTTTTTCCCCCAAACATTTCCCCATGTGCTAACCTGAAAGGATATACCTGTCCCTCATCTGTTGAAATGAACAGAGCAATGTTTTGAATGCACCTCAGTTTGCACTCTTCAGGAAGAGGTTTACTTACAGTCGTTTCTGAACATTAAAATTGCATGAGAGACAGTTTTTTAACATTAAAATGATATGCTTTTCAGTGTCATCAGCGAAGCTGCTCCATCTTAAGACCGAAGGCCTGTTCACAAGAGAACGATAACTATAACTTTAACTACTGTATATTCACAACAACAGACAGTAGCACTGTTTATTCTAAACGTGCATTTCAGTTATTTTCTGTGCATATAAATGCAGTCAAATGGATTTTGATTGGCTGATGATTTTTCTTTGTTTATCAGCTGGAAAAAAAATAGATCTGAAAGTGATTCTAACCATATCTTTCTTCTGTGCCGTTATCATATAATTATGGTGTGAACTTGCTATTCTCTTATATAATGGTTATAGTTATTGTTATAGTTATCATTCTTAAATTTATTTTAAAAAAAAATTACTAAAACTTTGACAAAAACTAATACAAATTGCTAAAACTTTGACAAAAATTTAAATGAAAACAGGAAATATAAAAATATAAACTAATTTAAAATATTGCTAAAATTATAATAGTATCTCAATGGTATTAAAATAACACATTGACCACACCTTTAATGTGAACAAGCCTTAACAGTGCATCCTAACCTCAACTGAAACAAGTTACGCTTGTTTATTTAAAAGCATTTTTGCTTTTAGTGTGGATAGATTAAGTATTGCTGAAACGTATCGTGTTGCTCCTTGTTGGGACACTGTTTTTGCTTCTTAAGTTGCAAAAGTTTCTGAATCCTCTGGAAAGCAGAAGTACAGCAGCAGCGTCGAATTAAATTGTGATGGTTATGAGCTGACGGAGAGATCCAGAGAGAGTGTGATGCTGAGGAGAGGAACACGATCCCTCTGCAGCCTTAAATCCGCATGAGTCAGCCGATCTCAGCTGCAGAGGGCAGGAGGCTCTCGGCGCGTGACCTTGGAAAGGTCAAAGACGAACTTATGTCTTGTGTGGCCTGAGATCAAGGAAGAAAAGAGAGAAGCTGCCTGATCGTGTGTGTAGAAGGATCAGTCTCAGTATTACCACAGGAAAACTGTACTGCTGTTTTTAATGAAGTTCTCAATCGAGGTTCAATTCATTATCAAATTTGTATCAAATGTTTCATGTAGAATTCGTTTGGCGAAATAAAAATAGACCACTTGTTATCTTACAGTAAGATTACAGAGATATCAAATGGATGTGAAATGTCACCTCAATCAAATAAAAGGGCAATTATATATATTTTTTAAAAATCACATTTTTGTATTTAGACATTATGTTCAGGACAATTAAGCACATTTTACCTCTAAATTTCCATTATCAATTTAATTGATAATGCAATTTTGCAATTGCAATTTTTAAAACATTTTTAAATGTAATGGTTTATACTTGCATAAATTCAACAAAATTCTACAAATACTAAGTCAATTCATTAATTAAAATGTTTATTTTTCGTAATATTTAATGACAGATTCAAAGTGATTAACCCATATGCTTTATGTAAATTATAGATCTATACAATATAAAATGCACCTAAAAATTAAATAGACATAATTATATTTTGAATAAAATAAAAACGTGATTTTTGTATTTTGACATTATTTTCAGGACAAGTAAGCACATTTCCCTCCAAATTCTCATTATCATATTGCAAAATAATTTTTTTAATTTCAATTTTAAGTTTTATTGTTTATATTACCATAAACCCAGTACAGCAAAGACTATATACTGTAATATTAAGTAAATGTATTAATTTAAAAAATACATGTATAATATATATATATATATACAGTATATATTATACATTAATTTTTTAATACATTTACTTAATAAATGTAAAAAGAGTAAAATAAATTGTAAAAATGACAAAAAAAATCATTAACAATTTTTTATGATTTTTTTTGTCTTTTTCTCCAGAAAAACATCAGACAAGCATAAGAATTTACATACAAAATTCTGTTAAAAAAAGATTTTTATTTTTATATTTTCTGTTTTGTCTTTAATTTTAGTTAAACTTTGAGGTATTTTGTTTGTGTGGTTTTGCCATTTTTAAATAGACTTTATTATTATTATTGGCTTTATTATTTATTAGATTTTTTTGTTTGTTTATTTAGTTATAATTATTTTAGTAAAACTACAATTAAAATAAAACAAAATGAGAAATCTTGGAACTAGCTGAAAAATAATAACTTACATTTTTACTGTATTACAGTTACGGTTTATTTTCAGTAACAGAATTTTTTTTTTAATGTTTTTGTTGACTATAATAAACCTAATTTGCTCTCCATTTATTGTCTAAGAGACTTTTCTTTATGGCTTGCAGTAGCATTTGTGTATATGTGAGTGCATTTTAAAGGTGTATAATCAGAAGAAAGAACAAATTAGATGCAAATGAGGTGCTGTGCTCATGTGGTCGTCCACACAAGAGTGTTTGTGTTGCACCGGTGCGTGAGTGCATGTGTGTGTTCACCTTTATGTCCGTGCCTGTGATTGTGGCTTTAATTTACTGCCTTTGGTTTGATGAATGACCCCGGCTCCGGATGAACGCTGCTGGATGACGAAGTTCCCTAAAATGCACCAAGGCTTCCAAGGTTGTGAATTGGATTTTCTGGATTGATTTGAGGAGCAGACAGGGAAATGGACCGAACACACAGAGGACCCTGATGGATGGGTCAGGACTTAATGCACAGAATGACGCACAGCATGTACGATGAATGATGTTTATTATCTTCGGAGGCTCTTATGGGTTATTTCTCTCCCACCCGGAGGAGCTAGATGTTAGTTGTGTTTCAATATCATATGGGGTAAATTTAATCTTAGAGAGCCTGTGAGTGTGTGATCCTCTAAATATAGACACAAAATAACCTTGAACACTCACCGTGAAACAAGGCCATATATAAATGTGTGTATGCATGTGTGACGTATATATACTTCCAGTCAAGTTTGGAATAATGAAGATTTTTTATGTTTTTAAAAGAAGTCTCTTCTGCTCACTAAGGCTGCATTTATTTGATCAAAAATGCAGTAAAAACAGTAATATTGTGAAATATTATTACAATTTAAAATAACTGCTTTCTATTGTAATATTTTTAAAAATGTAATTTATTCCTGTGATCAAAGCTGAATTTTCAGCATCATTACTCCAGTCTTCAGTGTCACATGATCCTTCAGAAATCATTCTAATGCTGATTTTAAATTATTTTTTATCATTTTAAAATATATTCAAATAGAAAACAGTTATTTTAAATTTCAATATTTCACAATGTTACAGTTTTTTTTTTTTTTTTTTGGCAGCCTTGGTATGGAAGCTTTTTCCGATGTTTTTCTCAGAATTGCAAATTTATATCTTGCAATTTTGACTTTATAACTCAATTGTGAGTTTATATCTTGCAATTATGAGAAACAAAGTCTGTGATTTGCGAGACTTTTTTTTTCTCTTCTGTGGAACACTTGTTTTCTTTTTGTTCATACAATGAAATTCAATGGGGTCCAATGACGTTTGGACCCCAAATGTTCTTCAAAATATATTTTTGTGTTCCACAGAAGAAAGTTAAACAGGTTTGCAATGACAAAAAGGTGAGTGAATTATAACAGAATATCCATATAAAATAGGATACGGGAAAGTATTTTAATGCTGAAATAATTACACCCTTCATTTTTAAGACATGAAATCTCAATAAAGCAAGAAATTCATCATTTTGTAATAATCATTCAAATCACATACTTGATAAAGGTTTTTAATTACTTTACGCATGCAGAAATTCATTCCCTGTTCTATGGAGGACTCTTCAGGGTTTTAGTTTTCGAGCAATTTAAAAACACTTGGCATCTAGAAAAGGTCACAAAGTTCCTTTCCCCAAATGAATGGCAATATCAAGATGTTTTTTAATTATTCTGGTGTGTTTTTCCCTCTCTGTCAGAGATCTGTCTGCTGACGCGAGGCCGTCGGACGGCGAGTGTGCGAGCGGAGACCTACTGTCGCCTGTATTCGCTCTCCGTGGACAATTTTAATGAGGTTTTGGAGGAGTATCCCATGATGAGGAGGGCCTTTGAGACCGTGGCCATTGACCGACTGGACCGCTTGGGTAAGCGAAACCTGAAACACCTTCTCGAAGAACAAAAATGTGAACATTTTAATGCCTTAAAGGATTATTCAGGGTTCAATACAACTTAAGCTTTATGGACGGCATCTGTGTTGATTACCACAGGACATAATATTGACTTGTCGATAATGTTGAGCTCGTAAAAAACAACAGAAAACCTGTTAACAGTAATGCACTTGTCTCTTTGACTTCTAATGTAATTGTTCTGGTGGGTTTAAAAGCAAAAATGTGGATTTGATCTGATGTGTTACTTAGCCATGTACAGTATAAACAATTAGCACAGTCCTTTAACAGGGTAACTGATAGATATTCAAGAAGTAAATAGCCAGTAAAAGATTCAGTCTTTTTTGCTCAAATCTATTATAGTTTTAATAAAGATCCTGTGGATTCTGCATAAGAACAGGAAAATTGCTCACAGCAGGCGATTTGAAATCCGAATGTGTTTTAAATTCACTGCAGTAAATGGGTTGTTGAAAGCAGCGAGTTTATTACGAAGGCGTTTTTTTAATGGCTGTGATGAATGAATGCTTTAACAAGGATAAATTTATGAACAACTTCTCATAAAGTGTTTTAGCATGCCAAATACACATGCTGAGATGGTATGCCTCGAAATTGATGTTTAAAGAACTGCTGTTAAAAATATGATAGTATATAGAAAAAAATAGATTAACACATTAAATGATGTCATTAACAGACCAGTCGGTTGTTGGATGACTAGTCAACCATCCTGGTCCATACCTATTGTTAATTCAGTTGTAAAATCGCATAAATCATCAATTTAAATTTGGACTACTGAATATTCCTTTTGTTCATAGAGCAAGTTGTATCAAGTCTGTATTTTTCCTCTAGACTTTTATTGGAAAAAAAATGCAGATTTTGTCAAGTAGTAGTTCACTAAAAGGTGCTATAGGGAGTTTTCTGTTACTTTTTCCGTGTCTATAAGGTGTATCCATTTGAAATGATTTTGTTTTTACATTGTGATTCAGTATGTTTTCTAAACATTTTTTACTTGCACAAAATATTGATAATACTTGAACAAAATAATAATAATAATAATTAGTATTATTGTTGTTTATGATAATCATTTTATTATTATTTTTATTAAGGCAAATTCCATATACAACATAATTATGTGAAATTTACATAATAGGGCATGAAACTATGATTTTGTTCATTTTTAGCATCAACATGAAATAAACAAATTATTTAATCAATTATTTCATTATAAATTAAAGCACAATTATAAAATAATCAACTGAAACATTAATGTATTTATTTGATCATATTTCTTACAATAAATTTGTTAGCATGTTTGTAGGATTAAGCTTGACAAAGTGGAAAAAAAGGGATTATTTACTTGTCTTGCCTTTTTGTTTTTTTGAATTCTTAAAATTTGGGATAATTCTGTACTTTTTATGTTAATGGAATGCAAAAGTGTACCGTACCCTTGAAAAATGCCAATTGTTTTAATCTCTCATTGCAGGAAAAAAGAATTCTATCCTAATGAACAAAGTGCAGCACGACTTAAACTCCGGCATCTTAAACAACCACGAGAACGAGATGATCCAAGAGATCGTGAAGTACGACCGCGAGATGGTGAAGCTGATTGACCTGCAGCGCCCGCGCTCCATGTCCATGACGCCCTCCATCCCTGGCGGGTTCTTTGCTCCGCCTGGCCAGCCTCAGGGCGGCAGCTCTGCCATCGCTTCTCTACAGCAGGCGGTGGCGATGAGCTTCTGTCCCCAATTCGGTCCGATGGTGGGTCCCAGCACCATGCAGTCACCTCGGATGGTCCGACGGTTCCAGGTAGTGCAAAACCTTGCTAGCCCGGTGACTGTTTCTCCACAGCAGTCTCAGTCGGCGCTTGCCGCGCTCGCTGGTGTCACTATAGCTAGTCCGCTTGGCGCTCCACCCGTCGCACCCAGTCCACCACCGTCGACCCGCGTCTCCTCGACATCGATCGGCCCACCTCAAGCACCCCATCCTGCCATCCCGGGGCCTTCCGGGGTCCGGAGCGCAGTGACTCAGAGAATGGCGCTCCCCCACCAAGCGTCCGCGGTTGGGAATTATCCGTCCATGCCACCCCCTACAGGCACTCCGCCCCGCCCGCCGTAGTGGGACCAGACTCGGTTATACGCAAGAAAGATTCCATAGTCAGCCTTCCCGAGACGGACTTCACAGCCAGATCCCGGCTATCGTCCAACCTCTGACGAGAACTCTGAGACTCTTTGCGATACTTTTTGTGAGTCACAGTTCGTTCTTTTTGCTCGAGTCCCACGCTTGAAGGGTGGCTTTTCATAGGAACCAAAGGGAGGGCGTTCAGACAGACTTAAGGTGTGGTCACATTTACCGAAATTTTGCGGGCGAAAGTCATTCCAATAGGAATTCTCGCAGTCACGAGTTTCACGTTGGCAAATATCGCTAATGTGACCTCACCTTTACCGCTAATAGATTTAACATCTCCGCTACGAATAGATTCACGAGGTCGGATGCCTCGCTAGTGCTGCCCCTGTACAGCTTCTGATACCTCTTAATATATTTGTCTTTATTGTCCCAAGTGAAATGGAGAAATCCTGTTGTGTGTTACGTGGTTTTTTCCGTAGAGTTCATACAATGCAATCGGGCGACTAGAAAATCAGGGACTTGCAAGAGATGACAATGATGAGATTTGACGCTTTGCAAAAGTGTTTTGGAACATCTCCATTCTTTCTGTATAAGCTCTACTTGTAGCAATCTAATTACCTGTGTTTCATTTTGTTGTAAAATATAGATAAAAAAGTATTATGGACCGCTGGTCGATCTTATATTTTAATGTAAATAAGGAGGTAAAAAAGGGAAAAAAAAGTTCTAATAGAAAACACACAAATTGTATTTACTCGAAAACCAAAGTTGAGCTTGAACACAAGTTTTGGTTGTGTCTGTGTCAACTGAGAAAAACAAGTCAAACGAAATCCTCTATTTAACTGCCTTGATTCTGAGTTTAGAAGCCATATACATGGTCTGTGTGTGCGTGCGTGTGAATTTGTGCACATATGCTTATTACTCGTTTAATTTATAAAACTGTTTTAACGAACGGGAGTGTAATGCTTGCATTTTTACGCCGTTTCGTCAGGCGTGTCGATAAAGGCAATACTTCACTGCACCGGGGTTGCACTGAGAGTTGAGACTTGAATGCAATGGGTCGTTTAAATTAGCAGGCAAACCAAAATAATCATGCTGTTTTTTGTGATCCATGTTGATCTGCACATGCAATATAATTCTGCAATATTCTCGCCCTGCCTTTTATACGAAAGCTTCATATCGCAGCATAAGCAATTTAATCAGCGTTATTCAGAGAATGTTCAAAACTTCGTCTTTTAAGGCACCGGATAAGGTTGCACAGCTTTCGCAATATGTTATGAAATTTGTCCTCATTTTCTAAAGTTACCTGTAATTTTTGTCACTTTATGTTTGGTGGTCTATGGCAGTTATGCGTTTCAGTGATGGAAACAAGTTTTGTAATGTGTTATGGCTCTCTGTGTTGATTTTTTCAATTACTACAGTCGCAATAAATTGTAGTAAAAGTAACAATAAAAGTCACAATTTTGAAAAGGTCAGAAAGGTTGGCTGTTCCCGTGTAGACCTTAAAAATTGTCATATTTACGTATAAATTAATAATATAAAATAAAAAAAAACTGAGCATTATCTATATAATTTAATATTATTGTAAAAATATCTTCTAGATCTATTTATTTATTCTATATTTTACAGTTAAACAGTGGCATTTTTATAACATTGCCTGTTGTGTTATAAATAGATCCTGATTTGCACAAATTACTGAGTATCTAAAACATGCTGCATATTAATGGCCTGTAAATGTAATACAAAGTTTGTGCGTGGGCTCAGTTTGCAGGCCTGTGAGCGTTGGCTAAATCGTTGATTTGTTGATTGCTTGCGAACAGATGTAAACTATTGGGTTGATTTACGAACTTGTCTCTTTACAAGAATGTAGTTGTTTGTTTCATTGTCAACTGCTGCAGATTTTTCTCACTTGAACTTTAAAATTGTAAATATGATGCTGTACATTATTTTATGTGCAAATACGGGCAGTAAAATAAGAAAAATGATTTTAGAAAAACAAAAATGAGATTGGTGCATAATGGATTTTGAATGTATGCCAAGTGGCATTATTGATGTGACCTGAATATAAACAACTGCCATGTAAATAGATCAGTAATAATTCATGCAAAATGGAAATTGTGTGTATTTGCTGATTATTTGTAGCGATCACGTCTTAAGTACTTTAATCAGATACGTCTAGAACGCTTTTATTTTTCTGAGGGTGCGTTCACACTTGTAATGTTTGGTTCGATTAAAACGAACCCTGGTGCGATTGCTTTGTTAGTGCGGTTCGTTTGAGTAAGTGTGAACGCTGCCATCCGAACCCTGGTGCGCACCAAACAAGCGGACCGAGACCTCTGAAAAGATGGGTCTCGGTCCACTTCCAAACGAACTCTGGTGCGGTTCGAATGAAATATGAACGCAACACGGACCAAATACTTCTAAACGAACCAAAAACAGGTAGTAATGACAAGATGCGACACTATGCGACATGATTTGACGACGCGGTGTAACCAAAACTAAATGAGCAGAGGGCAAACGTGGAGCAACGATGAGGTAAAGTGCCTTTTATGAGTTCCTTGTGAGTTTGCAGGTGGTGAAAATAAAATTATATATACACGCAAGAATGAGTGCGCTTAGTCCAGCAGACGGCATAAGGTGTGTTCGACTTAAAGCGGCGCTGAGCAGACCGATCGGTTAATGGATGCTTTGATATCATACACCCGCAGTGCCGCTTTAAGTCTAACGCACCTTTTGTTTGGGGTGTTCGGTGAGTTCCGTCACGATATATACGTCATTCAAGCCGACCAATCAGGTTGTGAACGTATCACTATGCCTTTAGGTTCGGTGTCTTTAGGTTCGCTGTCAAAAATGCCAACGTGAACGCTAAGCGGACCAGGACCAAATGTATCATTTTCCTTTTTGGTCCGGACCAAATGAACCAAACGAACCGAACTACAAGTGTGAACGCACCCTGAGTCTTGTTTCTCTAATGCTGATCCATCTGTGGATAATAGTAACACAAAGCACACTGTGTCCCATTAGCGCCCTCTATAGGACAGGTATCATCACAGTCCCCAAATTGCACTGGATGATTTTGAGATTATGGTATTTGTGCGACTGAAACTGGCAGCTTAATCAATTAAAACAAAAACAAACAAATAGAAGTTTATGATTGACAACATTCCCTGAAATAATAGTGTATTGATTAGTATTGATTTTACAATATACAGAGAGCCTGCATTTACACTGCTGATATGCACAGATCAGATCATGTTGCATGCAAAAGCACAAACAGATCAACAGCAATCATATTTTTTTACATCTGATCTGGGTTACTTTAAAATGTGGTTCTAAATCGGAAATGTATCTGATGTGTCTGGTCATCTGGTCAACATCTAAGCACTTGTGTCCATTGATCTAAAATCAACACTTGGGGCCCTATCATACACCCGGCGCAGCAGCACACAAACATTTTTAAATATTAAAAATTAAATTCCGCCATGTAAATAGTGAACCCGCCATGGCGCGAGCGCAACTGGCTTTTAAGGGGATGGGAGATGAGACTCTGATTGGTTTATGGCACGTTACGCCCAAAACACACCCATTACTCATTAAGAGAATAGGGACAACCTTTTTAGACCATGCGCCGGGCGCGCCGACCATTTCTCCCATCCTTAAACTAGCAAAAGTGGATTCAGATACGCCATAAGCGCAATTGCGCCGTGCGCTTCAGACCATCCGCTTAGATTGTTAAAATAGGGCCCTTGGTGCTTTGCTAAGGTTAGTGAATGCATTGGAATTTCACCATTGCCTGTTGTGTTTTTCAAGCAAAAATGAAAATTTGCTGAAAATTTGCTCACTTTCAGGCCATCCAAGATGTATTGTTTCTTCATCAGAAAAGATTTAGAGAAATTTAGCATTGCATCACTTGCTCACCAATGGATCCTCTGCAGTGAATGGGTGCCGTCAGAATGAGAGTCCAAGCAGCTGATAAAAACATCACAATAATCCACAAGTAATCCACACCACTCCAGTCCATCAGTTAATGACTTGTGAAGTGAAAAGCTGTGTGTTTGTTAAAAACAAATCCATAATTAAGACATTTTTAACTTCAAACCGTTGCTTCCATAATATTGCTTTCTCCAGTGAAAAAATCATCTTGTCTGAATCAGGTGAAAAACATGCACAGATCAAGCACTGTTTACAAGCCAAAACAGTTTTAAACAAATACATTGGTGGATTTTTATGTGAGAGGACAACAGGAGATGGACTTTTTAAGTGGAGGAAACATTATGGATTATGGACTCATATTTTGGCCAAAAGCAATTATTTAAAAGTTAAAACACCTTAATGATGGATTTGTTCCTTACAAAAATTTAGCTTTTGGCTTCACGTGATGTTAACTGATGGACTGGAGTGGTGTGGATTACTTGTGGCTTATTGTGAGGATTTTATCAGCTGTTTGGACTCCCATTCTGACGGCACCCATTCACTGCAGAGCATCCACTGGTGAGCAAGTGATGGAATGCTACATTTCTCCAAATCTGTTCTGATGAAAAAAGAAACTCGCCTACATCTTGGATCACCTGAGAGTGAGCTAATTTTCATTTTTGTGAGCTATTCCTTTAAGTGAACGTAAATATATCAGATCTGTGCATTAGACTTTGTGTAAATGCAGCACAACACCGCGTCTGCACTGGACAATGATGTGTTGCTGCCTAGACCGGGAGCTAAAAAATCTGCTAGTTTCCTAAAAAACAACAACAACAACAATAAAAACATAACTGGTATAAAATTAACTTGTAATGGACTAGTGAATGAAATAACTTTTACAAAAGCTCTGTAGTATCAAAACATATAATGCAATGCAATACAATGATGATTGAGTGAAGAGCAAATAAACGTTCCTCAAAAGCCTGATGGATCATAATTGATACTCAAATTTGAACAGGATTTAAATGATGTATGGATGATGTTCACTGCAAAATGACGTGTACCATGACTTGAAGGTG